TGAATCGTGTGGTTGACTACATGGGAGTCCAGCGACATAGCCATTACGTCCACTGCTGGTCCCTTAAGCATGTATTTTTATGTTCATTGCTAAGATACAACTTATAATAGCAATCAATTTGTATAAAAAAATTTTAAATGCAAATGTTCTGGGCTAGCCAGTGACATGGTGGTTGAGAAGGCTGGACCCCACGTGGCTGGCTGCATAATTCAAGTCTCAGACTCTGCAGTTAATGGTACCTGCTGGGCATGTGCCCATTCATGATCAAAATCCTGAGAAGAGAATGGAGGAGACGGGATTGTGGTATGGCCATAGTCCTTGGGAGGGTACTTTCTCACTTTACCTCTCTCTGTCTGTCTCTTTCTGGTGAGCATATGTGCCCTATAGCAAATTGGAAAAGGGAAAAAAAAAGTGAAATTATATTCTCTTCAAACCTTTAAGCTTAGAATCTGTAAACGGAATTTAGTTAGCTTTAATCTCCTACTTGAAGTTTTCAGTCTTGTAAATCTCACAAGCCACTGATGCTCCTAAACTCTAATAGCCTTACTTATTTGAATCAGTTGCAAAATAAATGGAGGCACCAACTGTGTTCTTGTATTTCAATCCTGATTATTTTTCAGTAATAAAGACAGGTAATCTCACTCACTTAGATGGCTTTAAAAAAGGAAGGACCTAACTAGAGACCCAATCATATTACCAGATGAAGCCTAGTCTATGTGGGATGTGTTTTAGCTGGTAAAATTGCTGATAACAAAGTAGCAACAATTTCTATTCTTTGGCCAAATTCAAGTCTCTGAAACTCTCAGGTTTCATTATCTCCTATGAGGATTGATAAACACATCATGCATTGAGAAGAACAAACCATGAGTCTAAGTCTTTTTTCTAATTTAATTACATTGCCTTACTACAACATGACTGACTATGGTTCGAGTCCCAGACCTGGTGACTTGAAACATGCCACACCTGTGTGCATGCATGCCCAATATCCTGGAGGAAAATGGAGGAGAAGGAATTGTGGCATCCTTGGGGGGGTAATTTCTCACTTTCTCTATCACTGTCTTTGTCTCTATTTCTCTTTCCCCTCAGCAAGCACATGTGCCCTACGGCACACACCTAAACAAACAAACAAAAAAGGTTATTTAGATAAGTCCATGGCCTAGTTTTTATGTGAGCTGAATCCCACATGGCTGAATGTGTAGTTCAAGTTCCAGACTGGCAGTTTAAAAAACACATCAGGCACATATGCTTGCATGCCTATAATCTTAAAAAGCAGGCGATATGGAGAAGGGATTATAATGTGATCATTCCCCATGGTGGGGGGTGGGTGGGTTGCTTTCTATTCTCTCTCTGTATCTCTCTCTAGCCAGCACATGTACCCGCTGGCAAATTTAAAAAAAAAAAAGTTATCTTGTTTATCTTCTTTCTTTTTGTATGGTCAACTTTTGTTTTGATTTATCTTGAAATTCCTAAGATTCCCCTTTTTAACAACTACTTCTTCCTTCATGGATACTAACTTTCTTTAACTCTTTATTCCTCTTTCCATCCCAAATTTTGGGTTTCCCTAACTCTTGGGCCTCACATTACCTGCATCTATTCAAATATTTATAGAGCACTTATTCTATGCCATATATTACATAAGATAATGCAAGATACACAGAGAAACACAGAACTTACAGAGCTTTGGGTCTAATGGGGGAAAGTAAATAATTAAAAACAATGAATCCCATCCTAGTGGCATAGTCAGTAGCAAACAGAACTGCAGTTCTAGAAGCCACATGTGGGTTCAGATCTTCTGGCTGGCCTAAAAATATGCTGGGCATGTGAACGTATGCCTAAGCTCCTAATGAACTGGAGGACTATGGGAAGGGAAGATGAAACCCTATTGAGAGTCTCTCTGTCTCTCTCTCTCTCTCATGTGTGTACTGCTCTCTATCATAAATAAAAATAAACTTAAAAAAAGATCAGTGAATGTTGGGAGTTTGAGGGTTGCACGTGGGCAATAGGAACATGCAACTATTGCATGGTTCAGTTTGGAGGGCTTTCCGGAGGAACTGAGGTGTGAAGGATGAATAGGAATGAGTCAGATAATGAAGCGAGAGGATATGAGAGCGACTGATTCGTTCAAGCAATTCAAAGGAATTCCATCTCCAGTGCTATCCAGTGTGGGGGAAGGCTGGGGGTGGGGATGGGGAAGGAGTGGCCAGCTGAGAGTTTTAAGCTGGGAAGTAGCTGATGAAATTTGTACTTTGGAAGACTCTCCTGGTGGACAGAGTCAGGAAACATCCAGACTGTTCTTGAAGAAGGCTGGGATCCTGTAACCCAGGTGAGAAATTAGAACTAGTGTAATGTCTGAGGCTGGAGCAAAGTGACCCGATTTTAGAAATGTTTAGGCAAAGGTATAATTTACAGGATTTAGTGGTTGACAATAGGGGTGGTATGGGAGACAGAGTAGCTTATGAGGGTGTTGGCTTTCTGACTCAGGCAGCTGATAGGCTTTTCTCTGAGATCTTAGACACTGGGGAGGAGGACACTTGAGTGCAGGTATGCCGGTATGCCGAGTTTACTAGACTGAATTTGGATACTGGATTTGAGCTGCCTGAGAGATTTCTAGGTATATGAGTGTGGAGCTCAAACTGGAGACTAGGTTGTACATAGCTGTGGAAAAATGAAATTCAAGTATGAGTTTATTTTGATGCAAAAAAAAAAAAATAGAAATCTATTCATAGTTTGGCTTTAAATGTGCATTTTCCAAAAACTTTTTGAAGGCCCCTCATAGATCTGTGAATTTTTTGAACACAGATTAGTCATTGAAGTCATGGGATTGAGTGAGAAAACCTGAGTCCAGCAAGAAGCTTTTTAGCGCGACCACTTCAGGGGCCCGTTCATGTGGCATCAGCATCGAGTGAGGGGAGGAGAGTTTACAACAGCGTTTCCTAAAGCATAGTGATGCTAAAAATTGCTCCCTAAGAAAACACACACACCACACACACACGTGAGCACACATGCACAAAAATTGTTCCATTGTCAAAAGTTTGGGAATATCGGGAACCAGCAGTTAGCGTAATGGCTATGTCGCTGGACTCCCACGTAGTCAACCGCGGTTCGCGTCCCGGACCCGGTGGCTTAAAACTCACGCCGGGCACATGTGCGTACGTGCCCAAGATCCCGAGAGGAGAATGGAGGAGAGGGGATTGCGGCGTGACCATCCCCCCTGGGGGGTGATTTCTCGCTTTCTGTCTCTATGTCTCTCTCTGTCTGTCTGGCGAGCGCACGCGCCCTATAGCGAAAAAACCTCTCCAAAAAAAAAAAAAAAAAAAAGTTTGGGAATATCTGCACATTATATTCTCTGCTTAGAGGATATTAAAGACTGAAAAGTTCTTTTTTTCCCTTCTCCCATAAATCCACTTTTATTTATTTTTTTCTTTTCTTACTTTATTTTATACATTCAATCAGTATATATCACTACAGCTTGTGAAGTGAATTTATCCAACATGAATCTTAAACAAATTATCCAGCTTCTTTAAAACTCTGTTTTTTTTTTTTGTTTTTTTTTTTAAATCTACAAATGAGGCTATAACAGTAACTAGTGGGGTTATAATTGTTGTTACTACTAATAAACTGAGTCTGAAAGACTGAGATTTGCTTATTAACTCACAGCTAACAGAAATAAGCCTGGAACTGAAACCCAGATCTTTGGGGTCTAAATCTGATCTTCCCTCTACTAAACAAATGATTTCTACCAGGGCCTCTAGGTTATGTCTTGGGGACTGGCCCCACATTAGGACAATCTTGCTTTTGAGACAGAGAAGTCTGAAAGTACCCAATCAAACAGGAGCCTACAGACTGCCCAAAGTCAGCTGGAGGGAGTGTGGGGGAAGGGTAGAGTATCTTCTGAGAAATCCTCAGTCTCAGTCTTAGAATACTTTTTAAAATATTGATTCTTGGTACCAGCAGATGGCAAATAGTTTCATTGCTAGACTCCCATATAACCAACCACGGTTTGAGTCCCAGATCCGTCAGCTTAAAACTCATGTCGGGCGTGTGTGTGTGTGTGTGTGTGTGTGTGTGTGTGTGCCCAAAATCCCAAGAGGAGAATGGAGGAGAAAGCATTTCAATATGGCCATCCCCCAGGGGGGTGAGTTCTCACTTTCTGTCTCTTTGTCTTTGGTGAGTGCACACATCTATAGCAAAAATTGCTTTATTAAAAATATACATATATAAATCTCTATCGATCGATCTCTATATCTATCTATCTATCTATCTATCTATCTATCTATCTATCTATCTATATGTATTGATAGACAGAGATCTATAGATATAGATTCTTGGAGCCAGCAGATGGCACAGCAGTTACATTGCTGGACTCCCATATAACTGACTGTGGTTGAGTCCTGGACTTGGTGGCTTTAAACTCATGCCAGGCATGTGTGGGTGCGTGCTCAAGATTCTGGGCAAAGAATGGAGGAGAGGGATTATGGCACGGCCATCCCCCCAGGGGAGGGTGATTTCTCACTTTCCCACTCACTGTCCCTGTCTCTCTCTCTTGTGAGCACATGCAACCTAAGGCAAAAATCTCCACAAAAAAAAAAAGGAAAAAAAATGACTCTTATATTCCTCTATAGCAGCCTCAGTCTACCTAGATGGGCACTGAAGTGGTGGGCCAGGTTTATTTATTATCATATCCACAAAGATCAGATTACCTATGGTTCTGAGCCTGAGGTGTACTCATTCTCAGAGCCACAGTTAATTTTAATTCTAGGTGCCACCTTGACTGAGGAACACTGACTGCCCTTTTCTAGACAAAAACCATCACCAAAATCACCTGCCAGTACTCACAGACGAGTGCTTGAACCAACTTGGTCTTAAGAGTTTTCCTTTGTTTCAGAAAGCAGTCTGGGGTCAGCTGTGGGAGGAAGCTTCTAAAAAGCTACTGGGGAAGGACTGAGTCTCTGAGGCTGAGGAGGGTGGACTCACTTCCTCTCCTTGCTCATCTGGGCTTCCTGTCGTCACAGCGAGATCATCATATTTTTTTCTCCCTTCACTTCTCCTTTTACACAAATAGCCCTCACGTCCGTGTTACCAGCCTTGTTTCAACCACCTCAAGGTAGATCACCAAATTCTGTCTAAAGGACTGAAAAGCGGAGCCTGAAAAAGGTAAGATGAATGGCATTTTAACCTGACTTGAGAGCAAAGCTCTGAACCAATTTGCGTGGGGGAAAGTATCTTCTTAGGAGTCTCTCCACATACCAACCTAGTACTTTAAAATCTCTTACGACTTCTGTTTCACAAGTATTTAGTGCAGGAAGTAGAAAAGATCAGCAATATTCTGGTAACACGCCTCGAGGCGATCAGGCCAGAAATACTTTTGCTTAAGTGCGTTTCCTATTATCTGGTATTTCTTTGGGTTAGGCATTCAAGTGCTTAAATTTCTACAAAACTTGACTTACTGTGTGTGGTAATTTCTGATGCCCGAGCTTTCAGTGTGAGAAGTTAGGGAGATTTCCTGTGTTCTCTGGTCTTTAGAAAACTAGTCTTGTGATTTTGAACTGCAGCGAGAACCTGCAGCCAGAGCCATTAGGAAAGGCAGTTAGGAGATGTGGATCTTCATTCGAGAAATTTTTTAAAACAAACTTAGTGACTTCCACCGTGACTCTTCAGAGCCACAAAAATAGAAGGTCAGCTAAAATTCACACCAGGATCTGTCCGTAACTGTATTTTAACAGATGAAATGTAGACACCTGTAAGCGATGCTTAGTTTGTTGACTTTTTTAAAATTTTATTTTATTTTAATTTCTTGTATACATTCAATCACATCACTTCGCTTGTAAAGTGAATGTTCCAACATGAATACCTTTCTCGCCAGTCCAGTTGGGGATGCTATACACGTTATCATCAACAGATAATAACTCATTTCTTTGTCCCATGAATGTCTTGCCTCTCTATTTTTCTCCTTATTGTCTTTCCTTAGACTCTCCTCCTTTTCCCAACCTCTTCCACACTGTATCTGGTATCTATAACCATTTTCTATGTTAGTTGACTTTCAAAGAGCAGGAAGAACATTGTGATCCTCAGGACTCCCCCAATTACCTTATCCTTGGTGTATGAAACATGAGTATTGATTAGTATAATACAAAATGCACTTGGGAAAGGCAGCCCACAAAATTTAATACTGCAATGATTTCCAATTCATGTGCCATAACTAATGATTAGTGGAGCCAGGCTTTGATCCTGACTTTCTGTGATCACCATAGTACTGGTTGTTAGAAAAGTCATGATGCATTTTTTCTATGCGAAAATGTGTCACGACTTTCTGACGACCCAATAGTTTCTGCCATAGGAAACTTTATCAGTTTTTTTCTCTTCCAAGGCCTGTGAGAATCTCACTTGATTATGCCCTGGTGGGTAGAGGGGAAAGTTCCCTGTGACCATATCATCTACTTAAGAATGAAGAGTGGGACTGGGCAGAAAGTTATAGATTCCCAAAGCACCTCACGGGCTACTGAGGCTTGAATTTAAGAATAAAGACCAGGCTTTTTAATGAATTCACTCATAAGCAGGTGTTAGTTCTTTCCTAAGACCAGGCACTGTGCTTTGGAAAGCACTGGCAGGTATTGAGAATGGACAAGGTAGAAGAGGGATATTGTCCAGCAAATATTCCTGCTCTTCAAAAACTTCCATGAGAAGTAAGAGATATCAGACATGTATGCAGATGCTTTAAAAGAGAGTTAAGGGACCAATAGTTTAGCATAATGGCTATGTCACTGGACTCCTACGTAGTCGACTGCAGTTCACGTCCTGGACCTGGTGACTTAAAACTCACGCCAGGCACATGTGCGTACGTGCCCAAGATCCTGAGAAGAGAATGGAGGAGAAGGGATTGTGGCGTGGCCATCCCCTGGGGGATGATTTCTCGCTTTCTGACTCTCTGTCTCTCTCTGTCTGGAGAGTGCATGCGCCCTATAGCAAAAAACCTCTCCAAAAAAAAAAATAAATAAATAAATAAGAGAGAGCTAAACAAAAGCAGATCTTTTTATTTTTTATCTCCAAAAGTTAGCTTCATTTCACAACTTCCTTACACTAACAGTGTAAAACTGCTTACAAAACCAAACACTGATGTAGTGCAAAATTGTCTTCACATGTTGTTCAGCTTCTAAAGTTAAGTGGTAAATTTTGTTCCTTAGTGTACTTTCTACGAGAATGTTTTCAAGCTTAGTTTCTTTCCATTGAAAGTATAAAGCATTCTAAGGGTCAAAACTCAACTTTCAGCTACAACAAAGATCTTTAGGTATGAAATGCAGCTCCATGAGTGGAGTCTTTCTGCCAAAGAACTTTCTAATATTCCATGTACAAAACAGAATCTTAACTGCTAGCTGAACAAAGAAGTTTTGCTTTCTCAATCCCCAGCAGAATCTACACTGTTTTGAAATTGTGGTTGAATGAGAGTAAAGGCTGAACTGAAACATGATTTCCTGTGACATTTTCTATATGGGTCAGTTAAGAGTATTTAGTGGTTTTGTGTGTGTGTGTGTGTGTGTGTGTGTGTGTGTGTGTTTCTTTTTATTTATTTATTTTTTACATTCAATTACTGTGTATCATTATGGCATGCCAAATGAATTTTCCCATCCTGAATACACTGTATATTGGTTCAGTCAAAGATATAACCATACACATTATCATCAAAAAATAATGTGTCCCTTAAATAAAGAGTATTTAGCTTTTAAACAAATGGACTGGATACTATTTTATCCACAGGGAAGGATCCAAACAAAGGGTCCCATCCCTTTACAGCTGCCATTACCACCATCTAAGTGACTTCGCCTTTTTGTTCATCAACAAGAGGCACCAGCTGGAAAGGACAACCTCTGTTGATCTTTAGTTCCTTGTGCCCTCTGGTTGACCTCTGATTGCCCAGAGGCCCTCAGGCTCCTGTTCTCTTTCCC